GTAATTGGCTAACTACATGAGCGAAAACTGATATAAAGTCAGTATCATTTGTAGTCTCAACTACAAGTATTAATTTTATCTTATAGCAAGTTCAAGTCAAAGTAGCTATGGAAAAAAGACCAAAAAGACTTTATCAAAAGTCTGCAAACTCCGGGGAGAATCCGTTTGTCTGTGAGTATATAATATGATCCATTGGTGGTAATTGCTTAAACTTTTTCTCTTTTCTTATAGGATTTGAAGATCCGATGGCGCGTACTACAGTGGAAATCCACTTCACCTGGGCACAATTTTGTGCTGCCACAGTTTTTATGAGATCCCACATTTTGTATATCTTTCATAGAGGATTTATAATGACTTCCAACGGTAAAAGCGTCGAGTTCATTGTTCCTGTATTGCTTACTTTCTTGCAGGTTAAGTATCAGGGAATAGACAAAAATCCATTCATAACTCACTCCAAAACGATGCATATGGCAATATTTAGCTCGCTGATGTATATTATTTTGGCATATGGAGCAAATATGAGGTTTGATTCACACGGTAATCCCCCAACATACCCTTTCCATTGTATGGTGTTCTTCGGCAACACGGCAGTGGCATCACTTGCATCGATCTTCTTCCCCGACTCCATTAGGCCTGTTCTATATGTGCTGTGTGTATTGATATCAGCTGGTGAATTTCTATACTGGGTTTACCAAATAGAGGAGGACGTTTTCATGAGACATATCCGCTGGTTCTTCAACACTCTGTGGATGTGGTCGTTTGGATACTTCTCTACTGAACAAAGAGACATACTTCCAAGATTCATAATCAACTAATTACAATAGAAATGGTGGCTTGTGCAGTGAAACCATGTTGCAGGTTTTGGTTTTGAAGCTGGAGATTTAGAGAGAGGAGTATTTTCAGTTCCAACAAGGCAGGTTTTCTTGTCACTAATAATATTTCACTCATGTTTTTCTTCCTCTATGTTGTATGTAAGTGTATTTTGTATAGTTTTCTACGTCTGTGAAATGAATAATTAAAGAATTTAGGATTTTATGAGTAAACCCTAAATTTTCAGTTTTGCTTTTCTTTGGAAAAATGGTATCTATTATATGTAACAAAAAAGAAAAAGAAAAGAAAAGAGATGATCTGTGGTCTATATCTTATATCTTATGCACTTATCCTTCGATTAGATGATATTAATAAATATATAACCCCTAAAAAATTGCTTATATACAAATTAAACTGCAGAAGCTGCAGCATTGGCATATGATGAAGCAGCCATTTTAATGAGTGGGCGAAATGTAAAGACACACTTCCCATTAACTCTGATGGAGAATCACAAACAAAATTAATTCCTTATCAGAAATTTGTATCTACCTTATCATAGCAATCAGCTCAGAGCCCGCGCAACTTTTTGAGAACACACTTGAAATATAAAGCCACCCCACCAAGTGAAAGCCATTTAATTGATATGCGCAAATTGATTAATGAATACTTATTATACACAAAGACAAATGGAAAATTTGGTTAAAAAGCTTCAATTGAGACGTGAATAGCGATCATATATTAATCTTCTGTAATCCAGACGTCATTAAAAGGCAGAGTAGTTTAGATAATATATTCATATATTAATAGCGATCAGAATTCAAAAAAGAAGCATATTTCAAATGAGGCAAGTCCTCCAACTGTACATTTTCAAAAATATTTGATAATAGTGATTAGAATTCAAAAAAGTAGGTGCCAACCTAGTTGGGATGTACTTATGCAATAAATATTTGATAA